AATATTTTTATATAAAATATATATCATATATTTTTATATAGAATAAATTATTTATTTATATCTGAATTTATACGCACACACACACACACACACATATATATATATATATACAGGGAACAATGGGTAAATTGTTGTCATATTGATATTTTTATTTTCGAGCATGCGCGTTGTTTGTTTTTAATTTTGTCGACTGCACAGTATAGCAGGGTCAGTTGGGCATCGTCTGAGGAAAAGAAAAAACAAAAAAAGAAACATCATGGCGCAATTCATTCTGCCAGAATTTGGAAATGACAAGCTTTAAAGCTTGTCTGGAAGCTCCAGCACGAATATTTCAGAGTGTTTGGAGGTCAATCTGACAGAGTAGAGCATTCAAAAAGATTATATATCAAGTCTGCATCATGGAGGGATCACTTGTGATGGCGACGTTATGCTTCAATTCATCTTCCTTCAGGGTCTCAGATTCAACACGGCGGAATAAACCTGGTACCTTGAGTAGGTAGTGTTGCCCTGGGTCAAGAGGGTTGTCTGGCAACAGGACTCAGCACCATGTCAAAAAAGCATGGCGAAATCTCTTCACTAACAAGACTTGATATATATATATATATATATATATATATATATATATATAATTATTTGTTTAAAATAAGATTCAACGCTACAAAAGAATTCTCATGTTTTTCAAAACAAGAGCCGAAAACTTCAATATAATTATTGGAATTAAATTGAATAAAAGTACCAAGCTCTGTTCTAATTGCAGAAGATGGAACAGGCTTGGTACTTTAATCAATTTAATTCAAATAATTATATAGAAGTTTTGACTCTTGTTTTGAAACATGAGAACTCTTATGTAGTGTTGGAAACATATTTTAAAATAAATAATTTTTTTATGCTCTACTTTTGTATCGAGCACTATTTTTTAAAAATAATAACAAAAAATACTAAAGAACTTTGGATTATTTACCTAAAGAGTTCTTTTCTATTTTCTATATATTTTATATATATATATATATATATATATATATATATATATATATATTAAAATAATAGGAAAGAACAATGGGATTTATAATTCAAATTCTAAGCATTTATTTTGGTTTTCTAAAATGTTATTCTTAGAATCGTGATAATGGAACGGAATTTTGTATTCTACGTTTAATTTTTATGATTGAATTTGAATTTAAGTTTCAGTTTTGAGACATGAAAATTCCGGTTTTGCGATGATAATATATTTCAGAAAAACAATTATAACATATATACATATACATACATATATATATATATATATATATATATATATATATACGTATATATATATATATATATATATATATATATATATATATATATATATATATATATGTGTGTGTGTGTGTGTGTGTGTGTGTGTGTGTGTATAACCATCTACAGTTCGAAAGACCCATATATGTAAAAAGATAGATAAATCTAGTGACTGATTCGGTATAATTTATAGGCTGATCGTCCTTTGAGAAGGGGCGCTGTACGTAGCATGAAAACGCGTCTTATTTAAAAGTCTATTTCCTCAGTATCTTCAAACGACGTTTACTTTAAATTCTCCTTTATGTTGATATACACATAAATAAATAAATAAAAAAAAAAAGAATATGATCAAATGAATAAAATACAAAGAAATTATCCTTCGGGAAAAAATATGGGAAGGTATGCGAAAAATGTAGAAAATTTTTCGATCACTTAAAGTGGGAATGTTCAACTGACGGAGAAATAAATCGGTTATGGTACTAAAAAAAGTGAAAGTTCCTCTTTTTCAAAATAAATAAATAAATAATGCGTGAATAAGCCAGTGTGTCTTTTAGTTTCGACTTTGGCAATGGAGGAGTACTTGTGCGCATGCGCGTCTGTTCATGGTGTGCTACGGAAGATGAAGGAAGGAAAACGCTAATCTGAAAGTGTAGTGGTATTTGTTGACTACAGAAATAATAGTTTTGGAAAAGCTAAAAAGGGATCACTCTTGAACTAAAGACAATATAAAGTAAGAAAAAAGTAATGAATAAAAGGTTAAAAGGTCATTAGGAAGAAAAAAAAAAAGAGGATGGAAATAAGGAAAGAATTAAAAGGTAGACAAGAAAAGAAAATGGTGGTAGGAAAGAAGAGAAGATCCTGCAAAAAGGAAGTAATGTTAAAAAAATCAAACAAGCAGAGAATGGAAAGAAAGACTGCTTGGAAGATAGACAGAAAAAGAAAACAGTAGAAAGAAGGAAAAAAATTAAAAAGGGGAAAGATAGAATTAAGGAAAGAAAGAAAGAATCTATTAATGGATTGTAAACAGTAAAAGAAAACAGTAGAAGAAAAGAAGAGAGAATTGTAGAAAAAATAAAGAAAGGTGTAAAGTAAAAGACAATTGAAAGAAAGAAAGAGAAAAGAAGCAATGTAGAAATAAATGAGAGAGAGAGAAGAAAAAGCAAATGTATAAAATGTTGAAAAGAAGAAAAATGTTAAGGAGAAAGGAAAATGGAAAGAAAAGAAGAAAGAAAGAAAGAAAGGATGAAACAACATGGAATGGGAACGGAAAAATACAAGAATTAAAAAAAAAAGCGGTTAACATTTGTAGAAGAAAATAAACGAGTAAAAATAACTATAATGCGAAACCTTCCAACAAGAGAATGAATGATAAAGAAGACAAATAAAAACTGATGAGAAAAAAAGAAAAATTCGGACGAATAAAAAAAAGAAAGAAAGAAAGATGTAGATAACGGGAAAAGAAAGAAAAGAAAAACAAAGAAATGAAGAGAGGAAGAAGGAATTAAAGAGGGTGATAAGAATGAAATGAAGGAATGGAAGAGTGAAAGAAGAATGGAAAAAAAAAATAGAAAATAGATAATATATATATATATATATATATATATATATATATATATATATATATATATAAATACATGAATTATTCACACAAAAACTAATGCAAAGGTTAATGATTTAAATGGCGAGACATCCATCATCGCAAACAATTCAAATAATATACAAAAACCTCCAAATCCGTTATGAATGAATTGATCCTTGTTTATATAAATTTCTGCCGTATTAGTTGTTATTTTTACTACAAGCTTTCGTCTGTTCCTACAGACATCTTCAGGTATAGAATAGATGTTGTTCTTGTTTTTCTCTTTAGTAATAAGAGGACAACGAAAATATATGTGTTGTTGTATCCGAAAATGCTATTGAATAAGAGTTATTGGTTTTGGAACGCGACAAAGCAACGCTGAGTTTGATTTTAAATTTTTAAAGTGTTTGCATTTATACCAAATATGGTGATGAACAAATTTTTTTACTGGTAAATTTTTCCGTTAAAGTGGCATGAATTACATTGTTCAATAATTACAGTAATGTCGCACTTATTATCTAAAAGTCGCACTTGGATCAGTTATTTAAATTACAATAAACGTGCAATCAATTTACAAATACATGAATTATTCACACAAAACTAATGCAAAGGTTAATGATTTAAATGGTGAGACATCCATCATCGCAAACAATTCAAATAGTATACAAAAACCTCCAGATCCGTTATGAATGAATTGATCCTTGTTTATATAAATTTCTGCCGTATTAGTTGTTATTTTTACTACAAGCTTTCGTCTGTTTCTACAGACATCTTCAGGTATAGAATAGATGTTGTTTTTTTTTTGTTTTTTCTCTTAGTAATAAGAGGACAACGAAAATATATGTGTTGTTGTATCCGAAATATATATAATGAATGCTGAATCCTTAAAAATCCATCAAGTTTCATACCAGTATGGATGTGAGTTCCATGAAATAAATTTATTACCTGATTGATGGATTTTTAAGAATTCTGTATTCATTATTATATTGCTCTGTTCTTACATTGAGCTCTCTTTCTATTTATATCCTCCTTGGAATTATCTCTACTAATCTTCAATTGATTATATATATATATATATATATGTGTGTGTGTGTGTGTGTGTGTGTGTGTGTGTGTGTGTGTGTGTAGTAAATAAAATAGAAAGAGCGTAAATAAAATTTAGAGGAAAATGAATGAATAAAAAAGGAAGGAGAGGGAGAAATATATATGGAAGAAAAAGGAGAAACATGTTAAGAAGAAGAGGGAAAAACATATAAAGAAGGAGAAATATGTAAAGAAGGAGAGAGAGAGAAATGATTTATGAAGAGAATGAAGGAAAATATTCGCAAGGAAAAAATCGAAATTAGTTTAAAACAATGAACAAAAGAGGAAGAAATTCGGAAAAAAAGTTAAAACAGAAGGAAAGAGGAAGAATCAAGGAAGAAGAAGATACCAAAAAAAAAAAAAAAGATAAAAAACGAAGAATGAAAGGGAAATATGTCACGAAGAAATACAGAATGAAAAGAAGAATTAAATAAAGGATATCGAAAAGAAAATGAAAGAAAGACTGAAAGAAAAATAAGACTGAATTTAAAAAAAATCTAAGGATGACCAAAATAAAGAAAGAAAGAACGAATGAAAAACCAAGAAATCCAAGATAGTAAAATTTAAAAATAGCAACAAAAAAAGAGAAAGACGAATTAAAGAAAGCCGACATTTGAGAATAAACGAACTCAAGAAAGAAAAAAAAGAACGAAGGAAGGAAAAAAAGAAGGAAAGGAAAAAATGTTCGAGAAAGAATATATAAGTTTTTATGAAAGAATAACCGACCTAAAGTAAGTAAGAAAGAAAGAAAGAAAGAAAAAGAATGAAATAAAGAAAAACAAAAGAAAAAATAGGAAAAGAAATAAGAAGGTGTGAAAATAGAAGGTACAAAAACGAAAGCATGAAAAAAGCAAGAAAAACGAAAACGAAAAGCAAAGAAAAAAGCAATAAAAAAGAAAGAAAGGAGATGCATTTAGAATTGAACATGTTGAGAAATAAAGAAAGAAAGAAGGTAGTACTGTTTTCTGAGTAAGAAAGAAAGAAATAAAGACAGAAAGAAAACAAAATAGAAAGATAACGACTATTTGCGAAATGATCCAAAAGAAGTAAATGCACAAAA